TTTAACATGAAGAATAATTTTAGTTAAAGAAGTTAAATAAAATTAATATGTATTTATTAAGAATTGTTAGAAATTGAAATAAGCTTTCTACTTCTTATCAGTATAGTTAATTCTTTTATATCTTTATTACCTCACAGTAATTTCTAACATTTCCTTAATATTAACTATTTTTTCTCTTGGTTTTCCTAATTTTTGTCCATTTTCACATTCTACTTTGTCAATTTTCTTCCAATCATTATATGATACTATATGTATCCCCTTTTGATCAAGCATTTTAGACAAATATACAAAACCTGGTTTATTTTCTGTAACTAGTAATTCTTTATTTATCAATGTACTAACTTGAAATGCATTTGTCATTGTTGATAATATAACACCTACAGGACCTGTTGCAACCCATCCTGCAGCATAAAGTTTATCTTTAACTTTCCCTGCTAAATTTTTAACACGACCAATTTTAGTGTCAAATGGTATTGATGTATCTATTTGGAGAGACTTATAACCAATACTACGAAATGCTAGGCCACATGGAATTTCTTCATATAATCCAGTAGGTACTGCATGTTGTGTAAGCATGTTATCACCTTCAAGTCTATTTACTGATAGTTTAATACCATTTATGCTATCAGAACCAAAAAACTTCACAGGATTTCTTAAAAATATTGGACATAATTCTTTTGTCGTTGTTCTTACATCCAAAGGTGTTTCTTCTAAATATTTTAGCATAAGTTCAGTTAGCCTCTTTCGTGGTCTGGGTAAAGTATTAACTATTTCCTTTATGTTTATAAAATCATCTCTGCGCCAGTAACTTCTACAGTTGTTTAGTTTTAATATCTCTCGTAATTCAGCTATAGTAAATGCAGCTTGTAATGGTCCTCTTCTTCCTACTAATGATACTTTACGTACTTTACTTTGTGACAATTTCTCCAATGCAAATGATGTTATATCAGTATTCTAAGAAAATAAAATTCATAGTAAATGAAACATGTGTTATAAAGTATGTTTTATAAGAAGTTTAAGACATACCTTTAGTTTATCTATTGGTGTCAATAAAATTCTTGCAATATCTATAGCGACGTTACCTTGTCCTAATATAACTGCTTCTTCTACATCTAAATTAATGTTTAAATTACTATCTGCTGGTACTCCATTATACCAACCAACAAATCGTCGCCCTGATATTACATTATTTAAATTTTCTCCAAGGATATTAAATCTTTTATCTTCTTCTGCACCATATGTCTAGAATATTAGCGGACAATTGTTAATATTAACTACAAAGTTAATTACAAACGAAATTTTCATTATGCATACCAGTAAAACTGCATGGTAAATTTCTTCCAATTCTTTTATAGTGACATCTTTTCCTACATTAACGTTTCCTACAAATTGAAAACGTGGATTTGATGCAATCTTCTCAAATGTATGAATAACATTTTTCACTTCTGCATGATCTGGAGCTACACCAAAACGTACTAAGCCATATGGTACTGGTAACTTTTCCAATACATCCACTTTTATATTACTATTTACCTGTGTAAAAATTATTTTGTTATTATATTATTTTGGAGTATTAAGTATTTTATGCACCTTTAATAACTGTTGCGCAGCATAAAATCCTGCAGGTCCTGCACCAATAATACAGACTTTTGGTATAATATGATCAGTTGAAAATAAACGAATAGTATTACAGATTGTACCAAATTTCATAGTAGTAAATTGTATTAATCTAAAACAATACATTGCAAATTAAAATTATGTTTTATAAATGTACTATAATTATAACATTTTTTAAAAGAAG